CATTCGATCTGCACTAATAAGGACTAGACAAGCATGAGATTGATCACCACCCAGTGACCAATCAATTGTGAAACTAAACGATTCATCGGTTAAACCATAAAACTGTGTGAAATACAATTGATTTTTGGCAATAATTAAAGTACGTTTGTTTTTATGTGTGAAGAACAAGTAAATTTACACTAGTCATTTATCGAATCTTAAAATTTTGTCAATCAAAATAGATATATAGGTCAATATTTTGTATATATTGAACAGTTTAATTTATAGAAAGACTTTGTTTAGCTTCAGAAAAAAAACTTGATAATTTATTGATCAACACTTAACTTTCCAATAGCCATTATTCTCTATGTGAATAAGACATAAGCTATCAACGTTCAAAGTACTTTTATCATACTAAGTTCATTGGGTCAGATTTAGATTAACTATTGATAAATCAAACAATTACTTTCCGAAATATAGATCAATCTGAATAAGCAAATGAATGTTCTTTTCCAGTCAATAATAGGCATTGAGAAAATTAACATTGAAGTTTAGCAAGTAATCATGTTTTATAAATGAGATTATTAAATATTCTATATTCATTCTTGTTATTGTCCCAATAAGCATAATGAATGGTAACTTTCGGGATTTATTTATGAACTAATATTATGCCTATATTTTTATTGTATAATTGTTAAATAACTAAATTATGCATATTCATGTTCCTCTTATTATAAGCCTTATTTTGACATATGAACTATTATTATACGCTTTAGCATTCTTGAATTATGCCCTGTCTATTGATTATTACCTCCCACATTTACAGCCATATTTGACTAATTATTGTACAAATGTTGTTTCCTATTTTATGGTACGATGTGGTCTGTCTGGTTGGTATATAAACCCAGTATATTTGAAATAAATGATTCATATCGTAGAGGCTAAGATTGGTGTTTTGAACTTAACTGGCTAGGCTAGATAGGAAGCAGCGCCAATAAGGACTGTAGACTATTCGCACGGGTTTCATGCATCATTGGTCCGATCGATAATTCACTACTCTCTAATTGGCGGTATCATCACGTTATACATTAACACGGCACATAGATCACAAGTTATAACAATTCTATAGATCACTGATATAAATTAAATCATAATATGATTTGAATATATCAATTTCATTAATCATTTCTACTGATTAGAATAATTTTTCCGTTGTTTCTGTCTCATTTATTTTTTTCTTCTCTCAAGTATAGAATTTCTCGAAGAGAAAAAAAACAATAAAAGATTCAATTGAAATAAATAGATTTTTGGCAATTATTTTTATCTGTAAGCAGAAAGGAAAAAAAGAAAAGAGAATTAAGCAATCATATAAATTACAATTGTGTTTCATGAAACACAAGTCATTTATTTTATTAAGTACAGTTAAATGTATGAATAAGTATATTTTTCATTAATCACAAGAACTAATTACATTTTCATTATTTTCATGAAATGATTGAATTTATTTTTATGATTTGAAGGGACAGGAAATGAAAATGATAAAATATCATTAAGGTAATAACTGCATCATTGATGAACAGGGTGGATCTGATGCAGATGTGAAAGCGCGGATCGGTAAAGCAAGAGCAGCATATTTACATTTGAAGAACATCTGGAACTCAAAACAACTGTCAACCAACACCAAGGTCAAGATTTTCAATACAAATGTCAAGACAGTTCTACTGTATTTGGCAGAAACCTGGAGAACTATGAAAGCCATCATCCAGAAGATACAAGTGTTTATTAACAGTTGTCTACGCAAAATACTTCGGATCCGTTGGCCGGACACTATCAGCAACAACCTATTGTGAGAGAGAAGAGACCAGATCACAGAGGAGGAAGAAATCAGGAAGGAGCGCTGGATGTGGATAGGACACACATTAAGGAAAACACCCAACTGCGTCACAAGACAAGCCTTCACATGGAATCCTCAAGGCCAAAGGAAAATAGGAAGACCAAAGAACACATTACGCTGGGAAATGGAAATAGACATGAGAAAAATGAACAACAATTGGATGGAACTAGAAAACAAAGCCCAGGACAGAGTGGGTTGGAGAATGCTGGTCTGCGGCCTATGCTCCATTAGGAGTAACAGGCGTAGGTAAGTTAAGCAATAACTAGGATAGTTTGAGAAATACTGCTAGTGAATATGAATCATGTTTAAGGAATCATATTATTGCATAGTTTTTCTACCAACCTATAAAAACTACTTGAAACTTCCACGGTTCATTTGTTTCCCAAGTTTCATTATAATATATGATTATATTTGTATGAATAAATAAGAAATATTAAACCGATTAAGTTAATTTATACGTCAGTGATAACAGTTGCTTAGACTGTATAATTAATAGTATTAAATAAGAAATAACTATTAATAGTAAGGTGACAGATGTAGCTATAGTGACAAGAATAATAATGACAGCATGGTAACCTAAATTACTATTTTAATACAGCAATTAGGAGTAGAACTGGAAAAATGAATTTGATTACTCAATAATCAATGGGAATACGGAATCATTCCGAATACGCAAATGGTCATCAAGAAATACTCAATGAGTTAAAAAAAAACAGATAAAGGGGAATGGTTTAATCGTTTATTAAGTCTTATGCAACGAAGGTAGAATATAGAGGTACTACAAATATCTTTTAAAGTTTATTTGTAAGTACAAATGTTATAGAATTACCGATCAAGTGAAATGAAAAACGTGTGTATTGTTTTCATCTAACGTTTTACAAACACCGAAGGATGATAGTCTTCAGTGAGTTGATTATATTTCCTAGTAATATCCTCGATATATTTTATCATGAGGAGCAAATGACCCAGTAGTTTATGGGAAAATTTTAGTCAACTGTTTGTGAATATTTCAACAGCTAAACAACACATGCCACACTAATCGGCATCCGAACCTCCCAGCTATTTTTTGAAAAAAATAAATGTTTTTATCAAAAAGGTCAAAAATCTCTATAGTGCAAATAATCGGACTATACAGTTTATATTATTCGCATGCTTTCTTGTTATAGTACAACTTCATGGTGTGATTTTTTTTAGAAAAGTTTATTATAAAATGATTGTAATATTTGTAATTATTAATTTTATGAAACATATGATGGGGAACAATAAATTGAATCGCTTGTCGACATTTATATACACGCTACCATTCATGTGATTATTCACTTGTCGTTATTCCAGATATATAAAATGCATTTTATGATTTGAATTATTCTTATACATGATTATACTTATCAATTTGTTTATTAAAAGGGAACATGTTGGAGATGTCCAGAATACGTTATTAATTAGCATAATTTGATTACGTCAGCTTAAGCATAATAGTATGATTAGAAATAAACAAGAAAACAATGTCCAAATCGTCTTCCTGGACATTTTTAATGAATATATACACATATACTGAATAGTTTGTTGGCAGGTACTCATAGATACCGTCAAATTATCCGATTTTGAATTTAAGCATTGAAGTACAACAGAATTTTCAAAATAACTAAATCAAAGATGAGAATCAATTTATTTGATTACTAACTTTTAATATGTGGTTTCACTAATTGGCCTTAATTTACTACCTAAAAATGTTCGGAATCTTTCTTTGTTACACAGATACAGGAAACTATCACAAAACTTGAGCATAAACATTTTACGTTTGCATATAAGTGAACTAATACCTTGTTTTATTTAATACTATATTTTAAAGTGACTTATAAGTAGTGACTAATATCGTGATGTTCAGCTTATCAAAGAGTAAGACAATTCAACATCTTTAATTAGTCAATTACTGCTTGCTGAAAAAGTCTAATTTATCAGTAGCATGTAATTAAATAGCGTTCACATTATTTTTTGTATACTGTCCAACATAATTTCAGTGAAATAGAGTTCACTAAATAACAGTAAGCTCATTCTCTGATGCACTAACGAGTAATCATTTGTTGAACACCACAGTTTGTCATTGGTATATAGTAAATACACTCATTACCATTATTATATAAACAACGTAGGTATAAAATTACAACAATCACTTAAAGCAAACATATGTATGTAATACGTTTTAGGAAATCAATTTTAGACTCTTGTACAAATACACATGAGGAAATAATATAATATTAAAGAACATGACTGATGATATAGAGAAGAACAGAATTAAAACAGAAACTTGATCGACAAATCAGATCCATTCCTAATGGAATTAACATTAAAAAAAGGAAAAGATAGTCAACATATTCACAGAATAATCTTCCAATTCAAGGAGACAAATGAATAAATACAACTGAATATTTCAACTCTATTTACGATGAAATAAAGTTTGTTTTTTTAAAACGATAAAATGTTTGATAAACAGAGAATAGAAGAAGAAATCAGTGTAACTATTCGAGTGTTATCACTATTATTAATTATCACGTAATGATAAAATTAACAATAAAAGAAGGATGTACAGGTTTTATTGTGCACTTAATTAGTTCATATTTGAAATAGTTGTATTTCTAAATGACAAATAATTAATTCCACTATTGGAATATAAATCACTGAAGAATAAAATCATTAATCTAAGAAAAAAAGGAAATTGTATACAATGTTTGTCAAAGAAATCCAAGTTGCCTTCTTTAAAACAATGATTAGGTCGAATCATAGTTATAAAATGCCAATTAGTAATTTACAATAAAAAATATTGATTGGCTTGAAATGCAATAATCAATAAACATATCCAATCACAATTTAGAACTCACCAATCGTTTATAAATTCGTAATGTCTAGTATGAATAGATAAATATAAGAATAGATAAGTAAACACAACCTGAAGATGAAATTTCCCATGAAAGGAAGTGCATAATACATGATATATGTTCTGGACATACACACACATGAACACTCAAGTAAGTGTTAAAGGAAGAACGGAAATTTCACGAAAATCAATCACGTACAATATTCTGTTAGTATATGAATTATATTTCCAAGACAGATAATTTTATTAGCAGGAAAATATAAATAAAAAATATTATTGTCATGATCAACGCCGGCGACGTACACGCCATCGAAGTATATAATAACCAAGTATTCGTAAAAAAAGAAAAAAGATGCATAATACACCGAAATCGACAGAAACACTATAATCTGGAATATTTAATGCTTGAAATATCATTGCTGGTTTGCCAAGACAAGGATAACTCATCTTATTTATTCGTTTACGATCGCAATCAAGTTCTGTACGATTATTTCCATAGATAATCTAGAAAAGTTGAAAATGATAACCAATCTTAACGTGTATTTATAATAATAAATGTTGATATAATAAGCGATAACATATGTATGGTTTATTGACTGGTATATATATTAATTACAATGTTTCCTGAGTAATTCATGTAATCTAAAATATTCGTGACGGAGCTACTAATGTTTACTTATCTTTTTGAATATAACTTTCTAAAGTGAAGTGTACTGAATAAGCTAATGGAAATCTTAGTCTGATAAAGATTTGTAGCTTAACAGAATGGTACTTGAGTTGTTAATATCTTTAAATAAGAAAATCAAATCTAACTACTCCATCGTTATGTTCGTTTGAACAAGTGAATGTAATTGTGTATGAAATGATGAAGTGGAAAATGAAAACGAATAATAATTGTACTATACTTCTGTCAGTCATGAAAAAATGGCTGATAGTTTTCAGCGCTTCGTTTATTATTTTATACGCGTCTTTCTATCCGCAAGCTTAGCAACTTACTGTCACTGTGTATCATATAGTCATATAATAACGGTTTGAAAGAAGGTAACTGTTGCATTTTTTTCTTTATCAGGGTTACGACAGAGTCTGAAAAGTTACGTCTTGGAGTTTTGCTAGACATAAATTGATATACACTCAATTCACCTACGATGGTGATGGAAAAGTACTACTCAACCTGGCTATAAAAATAACTCTGATTTGATTTCTCCATTTAGGTAGGAAATATGAATAATAAGTTTGAATGAAACCATAAATAATGAGTTATCCTCAGTTGTCACCGTCCTTTGACTTTATGAATACTCATACTAAGTAGTATAAGAAGACATGTGGTCTGTTTCAGTTTAAAATAATTTGCAGAACTGTGGTTAATTCAGTCATATTTTAATAATGGATGGATAATAAATTAATAAATAGGAGAAAGAATATGACTATCCACTCAGTCTACTGTAAGATAACTCAATGGATAAATTGTTCAGACGTGGACATAGTCTGTGGATGGATTGACAATAAAAAATACGTGATATCATGTACATAACTTACTTTGAGTGCTCCCGAAAATGAATATCGGGTAAATGATAAAAAAGAAATCCATTGTAAATACTTCGGTATAGCATATAAATTGAGAAAAAACCCAGAGAATAATAGTATAGGAATTCCCGTTACAGGTCCTAGGAATACAGCAACCTATGTAAAATAATATACAATTTAAATCTTAATTATACTAATATTCTAAGTCATATAAGTCATACATATAGTAATATACCACTCTTATTAATTACATATGTACAAATAATTGGATGTAATGTAATTAAATATAAAATAAACATTTTAAATGTCAGATATTACCCTTTTGTACAAAGTATCATGAAAATATGAATGAAGATTCTCATTCAGATTTATGTATCATTCAACATGCAAAACGTTTTCGGAATTCCACTTTAGAGTGACATATTAGATGTGTTTCTTTCTTCAGTATGAAATCTGCGGTTTGTATTTTCTTATCAATAATATTCAGAACAGAATCTGGTCAGGTTTTGTGCTAATATAATTAGTAGAAAGTTCAAGTATTAAAGTATAAACCAGCACTGATGTGAAGGTGCACCATTAGCTATAAATGAAACCATTGATATAGTTTCACCTTAAGGAACTTTTCAAATAGTCAGTGAAAGTGAACATGAATACTTCACTGTATATCAGTTGAAATATGAAGATTTGTTCAGTACCATGTACAAATATTATTGTCATTGTATGTGAGTGTAATAAAAGGATATACAAAACATGCCGGTAGATTACGACGCTTTTGAAAATATTAAACTTGTAGTCCGTTTAAATAAATTATCATATGCAGGTTGGATTCAATCCAACAACAAGAAAGCAGTGTCTCATGCATAAAATTCTTGGAATAATTTGAAGTATGGGAGCTTTATTGAAAACATCACGTCAATATCCGATTACTAATAAATCAACAGAATGTTTTGAAATAGTTTTCAAGAAAAATGTCACAGCGTACGTTGTTATTCACTTGGTATTGTCTACCTGTATCTTCCCATTGTTGTTTAGGACTAAAACTGATCAGTATCTTATTGGCATACGTGCATAATGTGCAGGCTGCTTTGATATTGCCTCAATTCACAAGCTTTATAGGCAAAGATGGATGGTGGCTAGCAGCGGAATCCACGACACGTGTTTCATCCTATTCGGGACTCGTCAGCTAGATGTACCTGAATCTCAAAGTTGATATTCAATCTGGGATGCACATATGCTAACAAGAGACTGATCGATTTTAGTCCTAAATATCAATGGGAAGATATAAGTAAACAATACCAAGTAGATTTGGACTTCACCCCATTGTACAAGCAAGTGGCTATCAGGACTCAGTAGTTAAGTGGACAAATACATGGCTTTTGAAGTGAACGGTACTGGGATCGAGCATTGGAGTGAACATCAACTTCGAGATGCAAGTGAATCCAGCTGACGTGTCCCGAATAGTAAGTTGTTACTGTTATATACTCAGGTTTTTTCTAATAATTGGTCCGTTTTTAAATGACGGGGTTTCGACTAGGCCTACATAGATGGGTGACAACGAATATGACCGAAAGTATAAAGTTTTTCCGCAGCTAAAATAATCAATACATGGAAGTTGTTAAGCATTTCATCACTTTTATTTTTTCTCTTTTCAGACTTTTCTAATTCAAGCTTCTAAATAACATGGTATTCAGGACAAATAGTTCATTCAGGTGATTATTGCATATTTTTATAATCGCTAATTATTTCATGGTCTCCTTAAACATAATATCTATTGTTTACGTTGTATGAAGAATGTACAAGAACGTTGGTGTGAAATCACTGCAGAACATTAATTTTTTGTTATATAAGAAATACAGTTGGAGTTGCTTTAATCAATAGCACTGATACATCAAGAATGACTCAAAAAAAGTATCAGTCGATTCCTGATTCACGACTTCCTTTCTCACAAACTCCACGTTAAATAAGTTGTTATTTTAACCATACCTTGTAAGAAAGGAAGTAAATATCGTTTGATGGTTTTCACATGGCATTAATGATCCTAAAGGAAAGGATAAGTGCCAGACTTTCAGTTAGCTTGTAGAATTTTGTGCAGGATTGGTTTCTGATAAAAAATCCTGATTGTTTCTGCCGTGATCAAACTTAATAAATGAATCAAACTGCTTTATGAAATCAATTTGCAACATATGAGAAGTGATTTACTAAGTTAGATTTCCAGGGACTCATTATTTGTTGAAACCAAAATCACATTTTCGTATATCATTAATTAGTAGGTGAACTTTGAAGATAGTTTCCATCATGAACTAATCATAACTAAACAACCATTGGAATTCATGTAGGCAATGGACAGCATCTTCGTCCCACTGTCGAGTTCCCGCTATTAAGAACACACATGACACTTCTCATAACCGAATCCATGGAAATCTTGTATGTTAATAATAAGTGGAAACCATCTTTTGGCAGTAAACGAATCAAGCAACCAGTCGTTTTCATAAACTTTCCTCTTAAATTATAAAGTTATAAAATCATAAATACTTTATAATTAATAACTGTTACAGAATATCCATAAAAATTCGCACTTTCATTCAATAATACATTATGTTAGGACCCGAATTCGAAAAGCGGACGATTGAGAATAATTGATTTAAGCATACGATACGTCTCAAAAAACCATCGTTTGATATGAGTTTTGTTTGTGTTCTCAGTACATATAAATAATATTGATTTTATGATTATGAAGTAAGAGAATATGTATTGTCGGTTATTATGTTAAGCCTATATACCTTATTCTAGCTTTCGGACAGCCCATTCTATTCATTCTACTTGAGTCACATTCTGACCTTGTTAATTATTCGCTTGTCAATCTTGACTGTTTTTATATGAGCGCGTAGGTGTGTGTACATTTCTTATCCCACTACTCATCACATGTCTGTAACTTACTTTTGTGTAACTATAAATATTAACTAACGCTTGGTTAAAAGGGGGTTGGCTTACCCGCCATTCCCAATGCGCGTCGTTTCTCTTCTCTCTATTCCATTCGCTATATACACACAAGTCCATTCTCGTTGACTTATTTAATTCCGTTATTGACTAACGCGATTAAAGTCGATGATTATATACGAGGATAGGAGACACATATATTTCAACAACAATCATCATTGCAATCACCTTGGAGTCAGATCTCGGGCCACTAAAGTGGAGAGCCCTTTCGACAACATCGTCCGATCTAAATGACGACAAAATTAAAGGGCCTCCACAAATATATGAAGTAGCTAACAAATGAAAATGGTTTCTAAAATTCCGAAATCTAAAGGCTTAATGAAAAAGACATCCTCAAGAAGATATTTTAGTACTAAACGATAATAAATATTCCGGATTAAGTCTGTGATATATTTCTCTAAAATACAAAATCCAATCAACTATGTTTATAGTTGCATGTACGCAAAGGATATTCATTGTATGTATAAACTAACACTTTTCGTTGAGTCATACAGTGACTTAGAAATCTAATAACTGAAATTTCAGTTCATTTGCTTTGGATTATATTTTTTGACTTTTATAATATTCATTTAATATAACATTAGAATTTTACTATTGAATGTAAACTTTTGAAAATTAGATGTGACACAGACTCATAAACAACTATTAACCACATTGTAGGGATACTCGTTTTTTATAAGTTATGTAGATGGATCTTCTTACAGTATTTTAGTCTATAAGAAGACTAGTTTTTAAGGACAACAAAAAGTAGGTCAAGTCGAATTCTTTTTTTTTATAAAAAAAAACGATATGAAAATTCTAGATAGTTTGCGTGTGTACTTTATGCAATTCAAAATAATAGCATAATGCACAAAATATAATAATAATGGAATACACTCATTAGGATGTAAAAAAGAACAAGAGGAGTTGATTGAATGATAAATTCGTTGTCAAAGTTGTTTGATAGTAAATTAACCTTTTTTTCCACCATGATAATAAATCATATGTCTGTTAAAAAGTGGTAATATATATATATATGCATACAGCCTGAGTTGTTTAGTCACATAAGCTCTTTTTGTTTCAGGTAGTCGTTTGTAGTCCTGTATAGGAAAATTGTATATCGCTATGATCTCTCTGACACCACTGTCTACAGGAGTTTGATTCATTATCATCCTGTTAATACTGATTTACTTGTAGAAATTAAAACTTTTAAGAGTTTTCGTGATTCAGTATTTAAAAACATCAGTTAATACAAATTTCTAATTAATTGTAAGCACATATATATAAAATTTTAAAATATATATCATTGAATAATATGAATAAACTCAATGATTTAAATAAAAAAGGTTTTACATTAGCTACTAATTTATATAGAAGCCATTTAACTTTTAGCCTGTAAAATATACATCATTTTGACATGAATAACCTTTCGAGGATAATCATTTTAATGTTAATTCATAGTGTGTAACAGTTAATTTTCCTTCTATGAAAGGAATTACATTAAATGAAAAAGGAAAAAAAAAAACAAACACAACAAGAATAACAAGATTTGCAAAATAAAATGAATTCGTCTGTCTATTTCATGGTTTCTCATCAGCTACATATGATCAAAAATTATAAGTATAATTATAATTATTAATCAATGTTTAGCATACTTTTGCCTATAAAACTTTGATGAATGTTCGAAACATAAACAAATTCATAATACTAGAGATAAAAAGTGTATGAATAAATACAGTTATGATCAATGTGCTGGAAAGTAATAATATATACAGGTTACGTAGAGGCATAAAAAATCAATAGGCAATTGCGTAATCTCTCAACATGATAAGATAAACAAATATGTAAACATCAATCATATTATGTAAGAGATGAAATCAGAAGACGACAGAAAAGGAAAAAGTTGGTAACAGGTTTGAAATTAATTAAAAATTAGAATTAACGAAGGTTATTAGACAAACATACATTCACATTGGGAAGGAAAGGCTAATCACACTTCCCTTTTGTATATATAGGTTAGGTAGGAAATGTTTGATAGCGATTGCCTCTGCCAAACGAAGTAAGATTAATGTTTTTTGTCCGCTAACTATTTTAAATGCATTACTTATACCCACTTCATGTCCACGTCCCTAAAAGTGTCTGGGGATTGCACTTTTAAATGTTTTGCCTCCTATCTCCTGTAGGTTCCAAGGAACGTATTCAGAAAACCTTTTAGAGGTCCCTCTTTTAGTTCTTCTTATAACCTTACTATAGCAGGTACATGTAAATCCATAGATGCAATTAGAGACGACGTCGGTAGAGTATTGATCTACCTAGTGTTGTATAGTGAAACCAATTGGGCAACAGGGAGGCTTTTTTTCAGTGCTGTCTAGACTTTCCAATCGATTCCTCATGAGATTTTATCTCACCTGAACGAAAGGCGGATGAAGATAAGCTACTTTCCAACAACTGGATGTTTACCATCCTTTATAATGGCCTTGTCCGTTTTTTCTTCTGGTATTTATATTTTATGAGATGCTTTTCTAGAATAGCCAATTTCTCATTGGTTTTAATGTTTGAGAATAACAGAGTAGCTCTATTGGAGAACCTTTTGACGAGACACTTTGTAACTGATACGAGAAAAGCTGTCAAAGCTTAAATACTGTCCTGTCCATTTTGCTTTCATACACACTTTTATCAAGACTCATCATTTTTTCCGTTTTCTACTAAGATCATGTTAAGCGATTATCTGACCACTTATTGATTTCATTACATTTACATAACCTTTATCGTTTTGATTATGATTAACTGTAACTCCTGTTTTACTCTGCATCACTTTCGAACAAATAAATACACATCAATTTTCGATTATGTTAATTCATACACTTTGTATCCTCATTCTTTTGATTATTATGATTTTGGTTACGTTTCGAACAATAATCTTAACTTCACAAACTAATATATGTTAAAACATTTGTTAATAATTTTGTTGTTAATTGTGATTCTAGGTCGTATGCAGCTCATGAGAAACCGTGATAGACTGATGAATTCATTCTATTCTGGAAACCTTATTGCTCATGTTTTGTTTAAACTTATCAAGGGATCTGGTTGTATAAAAAAAGTAAGTTAGGAAATTTGAATCATATTATTGCTTACAAAGCATTATTTTAAATGAGTGACTTAAAGATTCAACTTAGATTGTGATTAGCATTAAGTGTGATAGAATATAACCAGATAAAAATATAGAATTATCATACGATTGGCGCAGTATAAAATAAGAATAAAGTATTTACTGTATAAAGTACGGGAATCATGTTAATAAAATGTTGGCATTTAAAAAAACACAGTGTACATCTTATCATTTAGCTAACCTGTAATGAAGTAGCTGTACCAATAACAAGACCTAATGATTGACCAACTAAAGATGTTTGAATCGATATGATAAGAAATTGAATAAATCTTATAGCATCATTTGGTTGTTCAGTCATCCAGTATGTAATACTAGCATAAACAATAGGAAAAAATATCTAATAAAGGGAAATAAAAAAATAATTAAGTTACTTTAGTAAGGTATTCTTTACATACGTAATCAATAAACGAAAAAAAAATTATGGAAGATTAGTACATTCACAATAAACGATGTCAAACCACGTGATTGAAGATAGTTGACAGGAAACTTTAGATCAAAGTTGTATGCTTGCTAGTATTCGTTATTACAATCTTGAGTGAACTGATGCTCCCTGAAGTTAACCAGCTTCATAGTCTGAAACGTTATCACTAACCCATTCTAGTCACGAATGACCTTCTGTAGGACTGAGATTTTGACAACTGATTGGTCGCTGAGTAGTGATCAATGTTATGTTTGTCTAATCCGTTGGTACAGATAGGATTCTGTCGATTGGGTCGAATGGTGAACATTAGTTTGAGTGATTCGAAATCACTGACAACATGCAAACAAATAACATCCCAACATAGTGCACGTAATGCCACTAAGACTAGTGGCCTAAACAAACATAACATTGGTCATTATTCAGTTATTAATCATTTGTAAATCAGGACTGTTTATAAGGAGTATTACACAAGCTTATAGAACATATTTATTTGTTGAATATCTTGAGAGATCTTATTATGTAAGAAAGTTGAACACGATTCTAAGCAGTGGTTTAATTAACAACTCAATTCATCGAGAAATAAAATAATAAGACAGTGCTTACTTTTCGCGAAATCATTTACTTAAGCTGTACATTCGTATATATAGTTATATGGAAAATGTGTGTCTATGGAAAGATAGAATGGATTGTATCACACAAATGGATTCGACAATAAATAACAATGACACTATGGGTTATTTTAATTAACAGTGCTTACTATTGCATGATGGCAAATTTAATTCTGTTCTCATTTATAGCACGGAGTCCCATTACTTTGAACGTGAATGTAGTAAGTAATCTAGTTATCTATAAATATAACATTTTCATCATTAAAATTAACCTTCAACCACTGGTTTGAGTCATCTCAATATAGGAACTTACATATTCATTTAGATACAGAAATTATTCTGACAGCGAATTGAAAAATGACAGGAATGTAATCGCATATAGTCTATGCTGTTTTCACACACAGCTAAAAACACCCACTTTTATTTTTTGATCAATAGAAAGTAACTAGTGTCCAATTTTTCTTCTTTGGTTTATGTTGATGAACTCGGTAATATTGATTTCTGACTGAGTCCCTCTTAGGATTCAAAACTGAATAAACGTTTGACATGATTATCGAGTTGCTGAACTTGAATTAAATCAGATGTTTTACGAATTACAAAATGCAAAAATATTAAGTTAATTTGCAGAAATTAACTGTTGAACTCATGCAAAATAATATTAACAATGTTATAAGAAATTGATAAATTTTAAATGTGCCAATAATTAAGATTTACCTGGAATGGTACGTCAGCTAGTGATTTCGCCAAGTAATAGGCTTTTAAACTATACCATGAATTTAGATGTTCACGGAAGAATATTGATATTTCAAGAGGAACTGGAAAGAGTAATCAACATGTCTTAGGGGTAACAGTTAGGTTAGAAAAACTAATAGCATGTATAAAATGTAAACGGTTTCCTTTATCAAAATCACATTAATTAATGTTTAATTCCACTTTATTTTACAACCTTCGACATTATTTTTTATTGTTTTTCTACTCAATTAAAACTGTCATCATAAACTGGGTCTCAGAAATCAGGAATTCCAATTGCACTATGTGACAGTTGTCACAAATGTCATCCACTAATAACTGTGTGCTATACGTCTCGAGTATCAAGCAAACAGTCGACTAACACAGGTCCTGGGTTCGGTTTCCACCTGCGGGATCATGGATGCTTATTGCTCAAGAGCTCCATACGATGCTTCCGGATTTTCAGTGTTAGTCTAAAATTCATTGGTTCATGGTTTCAGAACTGTCATTCATATATAAAACCTTAACTTATTAACGGTATGGGATATAAAGTAACAAGTATTCATTCAAGTTACAAGGTAGCCAATTATCATTCACTTCTTTCTGTTGTATAATAAAAATGATCATTTATTTTTACGATGTAGATTTTGTTTACTTTATCTCTGACCTTATAACTGCTTATATTCCTGATCCCGAGATAAACTGTTTTTATTGTATTATGTTCACCGGATTAAAATAGAGAACTGATGTTAAAATATTAATCAATAAACATATGGACCACTGTTTTTAAGCAATAGATATCTAGTTCATTATAAAGCACTAAGAAAAAAATAAGTTTAAGAAACTTCCTACCTGAAAAATGGTTCATAATTATGCATGTGGGTTATCTAATAAACTCTTTCATAGGGTTTTGTTTGTGTCGAATTTATTTAAGCATCAAGTTAACCTGGAATAATATGCTATTACGTAGTGGGAAAATGGATGTTTATTTCAAACTACCAGTCGAAAAAAAACTATGAAAAATCAAATCCACCAAATTTAATCTCATTGGTTTTATGGTATAGTACTCATTGGAAGAATTTAAAAACTTTAGTTCTATCATGTGGACAAAATAAATATCCATCGATTGACTCATGATTTTCACTGGTTTACCAACACACGTTACATTCAATACAATTGTGAGCTATTTAATGTAATAGGATATATATATACAACTTAAAGATATGTGATCCCGAATGGTTTTTTTTGTGGAGATTTTAGAAATTTCACAGATTGAAATCATGAGTCAGTTGAAGCTAAACCACCATTGAAAACCTGGAAGCACTGGACGGCCGTTTCGTCCTAGTATGGGACTCCTCAGCAGTGCGCATCCACGATCCCGCACCAGGCGGGGACTATGTATTTACTACATTGTGTTACACAAATACAAATCAACTGAATGTAAATTATTAATTTTCGATTATATGCAACATATTTCATTTGACTATCCTTTGTTTTTTAATTGGTGAAATAAGCTTTTACTGAATAAATGAGTCAAATAACCTAATGACCTAAATAGTAATGAAAGGTTATTGATTTTTTTGTATATTCAATATCTACTAATGAATTGATAATAAGGTGAATTCTGTAACTATTCTAAACGAATTGAAAACGAAATAATTTTTTGAAGCTTAATCTAGATTTTATTAAAATCATTTGTATGTATTAGCTTATGTTATATATTTTTTTGGTGTGTTTACTTATCTCCAATTTATTTTCTGATAAATTTTATTAAAGATTTCTAATGTTCTAATAATTATTTACTGTATTATTCAAACTTTATTCTTCTTAATCAGATAAATTGAATTGTATAGGCTGTTTCATTTGATTAGAGAACGGATTTGGTAAAGTATTCAATTCTGATGGAATATTTGAATAATCTATTGTAGTGAAACAAAAACAAAACTATAATGTTTAAGATAAGTATGATTACTTGTGAATTACTTGAATTTGAGAGCAATTAGTATGTTATAAGTTCAGTAAATAAACTTATGTCTAGTTAATGATGTATTCCTGATAATTTTTTGCTGGTATGACGAATAAAAACATTGTATGATTAAAACAATAAAGCGTATTATTTAAATTTTAATGGAAAGGTTAGTAATTCATTATCTCGACTTTTCGAGTTTTATGCAAGTAAAGTTATGTTATAAATATTTAGGTAATCAATTTTTATCTCCTATTCTCAAAAAACGAACTATCACCAAGTATACATAATTTCACATGGCTGATGATTTGATTGGAGACTCTATCATTAAAAGTGAGTTATAATAGGGAAAATTTTATTAAAACAAAATCTTTAGTAGCTTTGTATAGTATTTAATTAAAAATAGTTCTGCTTTGTATGTGTTCCTGATAAGCTTTACAGAGTTAATATAGAATATTTTATTAAAACGATGGAGTTCCGAGTCAAATAATGGTCCTTACCAAACACCTATTACCGGAAATAATGAAAATATCGCAACATGAATACAAGGAAAAGTTTATTTACAATTACTATGAAGTTCCGTTGCTTTAATAACACTGGGGCAAGAATTTACAAACAACTGTGACTCAGAACTCATTGGGTCAGCAGTCTGGAAGTTAAGCTGCCACACACGAGATTAAACATTCTGATTTTGATCATTGGTTATGTCGTGGATACACACTACTGAGGTGTCCCTTAATACGACAAAACAACTGTTCAGTACTTTCTGGTTTCCAGTGATTGTCTAACTTAGATCATGTCGTAAAATCAATAGCATTCAATAATCGCCTTAAGCCTGTATACGAATAAATGTTTGGTTTTAGTTCATCATAGCAGAACATTGCCTGAGATCAGGAATCATCAGTTATACTTACATGTCATCACAGTTGGCATTAATGAAGCAAACATAAGGAATAGCAAAGTAAAGAAGACAAATGCTGCATTACTTATCACTTCGTAACCCAAATTACCAACACGAAAATATAAAACACCGATTAATATTCCAACAACAATATGTGATACAAAACGCAGATGTGTTAATGTCTAAAAAATAGTGAAGAAAAGATGTGGTAATCGAATAAAGTAATTAGTAGTTATATATACTGGTAATTTATAAACAATTTAATATTTTGATGAATGAATTCAATTGATTGTTAACTTCAAACAAATGATCTTCAGTCTTGATTATCAGTAATAAGCTGGTTCTGCTTTACAACATAAGTTTTGAACTGTTTGCATCAACCTATTTAGCCAAGTATAAAGAAGACTATTAAACTTAATCTAGTTTGAAATGGACTGGATTGATAATTTCTATGTAGGTACATTCAGCTGACGAGTCTCAAACGGGACGAAAGGTGAATCTTGGATTCCATTTCTAGACACGTAACCTCTCTTCAATGCTATTAAAAATTTAGATTGTAAATAAAATAACACATGGTGTACACGGACGCCAGTCCTCACATATTTTAAGATTTTTCTGAATAAATACACTTTTGCCATTAATTCTGAAAGCATATCCACTTTGTTGACTTTTATTACAACTTCGAGTAAAAAGCATGTTATTTAGAAAATCTTTAGCAGTTATTTGTTTACGAATATGAAAAACGCTACTTTGAATCATCATTTCACTGATTAAAGAATTTATTAATATCGTTTTCAATTGGTATGTAATCTTCATCCGTAAGATTTTAAGCTAGCAATAATATTCCGACTATCATTTCAAATAAACCATCCTTTACGAACTGCAGTCATATCAGTTGTACAGTTAAAGTTTTGTTAGAAGTAGAAAATTCGCTGATATAGACAGTCGGTTGATTTGAAGAGAAACTAGTTGTTATTTCAGTTAGAAATAAAGTAGAATTTTTAAACGATGAAAAGAAATAATATTTACATCAATTATCACAAAGTATTTTAGTTTTTAATGAAGCTGATTAAGTGAAAATCACACAAGAGTTTATTAAACAAGTATTCAACCTAAGCAAATAAATATTATTGAAATATTTATAAGGAAAATGGAAAAATAATATGCAAAAATGAATATATTAAGAGAAATCTGAAACGAATTCAATACAATCTCATATAGGTATAATAATGATCAAAAGACAAAATCAATAAAGGGGAGAAAACGCAAACAAAAGGTTGAGAACTAGAGAACAAATTAAGAAATTGCTTTTTTGTTCAATAACATGTGATTAAAATAATAGTCAATTAATAGAAAAGTGAGTAAGAATGTCAGTACTTTTTTATTTAAAATTTCTAAATATCTTCAAAGCAGAAATAATACATCTATTATCTTATGAATAAGGGAAATGAAGTTTGGAAATAGATATTGAGGAAATTGAGAAATAACACTAAGTATTGTGTAAATGAAATATAAATTCAGATAGAATAGTCAAAGAGATTATTTTTATTGATTTTAGAGACATTTAAGTAAAGAAATTAAGGGGTAATGAAAACTATGAACTGTACATATTATATTCCTCATATTATAGAAACTCGAATATTTTATGCCCACGACAAGTAGTGGTTCGTTTCGACACACAATCTTATGAAAGTTAATAATTTTGATTGTAAACCATTTTGTGTAACGTCCTAAAAACATTATGACATCCAGTTGCTGATTTATTAACTAATGACAATTGGTTCTTTTTCCTATCTCCAGTTTTGAAACGGTCATAATTTCTCGAAATAAAATGTTTTAACCATATCTAGAATATATATTGATTCCTAACTTACATCACTTCAAAATAGCGATGATATCCATCTAATTAGTATGGATTTAACTACCATTAGTGAATAATCCTACTTTAGGCTGATCAAGAAACTAAGTTGTATACAGATATTTGTTTACTTTTCAAACCAAAAAATCTGTAAACTTTGTACGTAAATCCAACTATTAATTGTTATCGAATTATCATCAAAAACGCTTTCGTAATGTGGAATATAAGCTTTCATCGTAGTTGCCAAACTATTTTCAGCATTTTATAAACTCCTAGTTAGTTGATCTACTTAAGTAATGAAGTTACGTAATTGGATTAATGATAAGAAATCTTTATGTCATTATTTCCCTAGATAGATAATTGCGACCCAATTAATGGTTGAACATATACGATCAGTACCGTTTTGAAGAGAATCTCCTGATGAGTTGGTGACTTCATATCTTGTCTTTGTGGGTATGATATTTTCATATTATTTAAACAATTAGTGTTTCTTACAAAACGTGTTTGTGATTAACGTTTATGAGCTGTAGCTTTCCTACGTTTTCGATATTCGGGTTATCTCAGTGGTTTTCATTCGTATAAAGACAAATATCTTATCCACTGAAATGTAAAAGGGGTACCTGTATGTAAAGGAATTTGGCCGTCAACATTTCGGAATTAGAAAGAGTACATAGCTTTTGATTGTAAGTATACTATCAGTTAATGAAATATTTTATACAATACTTCTAAAAATAATCAAGTGACTTTGTTTCATATTCTATGTACATATTCTTTGATACTCGATGTAGACACTAACAATAATAAAATTGTACACAGTAAGTTATAGAACTAGATTTTTTCTGCAAAATATGTTATTTAGAGAAACAAACGTTAGTGGGAATTAGTAGTTTATAATAATGATTAATCAACCTCTGTTCTTCTATCCTTGTGGCCAAATAGCACTGAGTAGGAATGTTGAAATAAACTTGATATATCTACCAGCCGATAAAATGAATAATGAATAAAGTGTCAGATATCAGTTCAGTATAAACGAGAATGAAACATAGGTGTTGTTGTCGATAATAACGATATCGTTGAACAACCAATTAAACGAGACAAATAAGAACAGATAAATATCCTCTCATAAGTAAAGCATTTTTATGTATTGTTCCATAAAACCGTAATTATTATGATAAACTGGTATAAATTGTATAACTTACTGAATCACGAATAATGGAAAGTACATTTCTCACGAATAGAACCCGAAATTGGGTTAACTGATTTGCAGCAAATTCTCGACTAGGATCATCGTACTAAAAATGGAAGTAGAAATGGATTTTTCACATATACTTATTATGTGTGATTTACTTTAATATTGATCTTACGGACATAACGAAGATTTGAATAACTTTAAAATTCGATGAATCTGAATGAATGGGCCAAATATTTTTTAAACAAGATAATTTAGATATTAAAGAGGAAGAAGGAATTTGTAACATCTCAACGAATGAATTTGAAGTAAATTCAAAGTTTCACCTAGCAATCTGATCTAAGCTTTTTCAAGAAATTATAATCAAACATCAAAATTATTGAGTATAAATAGGTACATGGTTCTTTAGTTCACTATATACTAAATAGGCCATCCAATCAACGTTAACAGTGTTTGAAGTACATATTTGCTTTAGTAAGTGACTTGTGGTGTGAAACGAGAAGTGTTAAGATAAGTGGTGTTATCTTAACACATTTTGATTCACACCACAAGTCTCGTACACATTAAAGCAAATGTCTACTTCAAACATCGTTAACTCTGATTGGATGACTAGAGAAACATGTACCTATTTATATTCGATAATTTTGATGCTTGATTATAATTTCTTGAAAAAGCTTGAATCAGATTGCTAGGTGAAACGTTGGATTTACTTCAGATTCATTCGCTGAGATTTCACAAATACATTATTCCTCTCACATCAACTAGGCGTTCAAATACTGTGAAACTGTTCGATCAAATGTGGACGAAAGTTCTTATATAAGATAATTTAGGTTAGCCAATGAGCTCAAAAAATCTGGTAATCATTGTACACTATATATACAGTAAGATTATATATATAGGGGTAAGATTCATTGAAAATTGATATTCTTTGTTTGTTTATGATTTATCCATTTTGTTGATGAGCTTTAGGTATCATTGCAAATCTCTGACTTGGTTGTTTTAAACAAATTTGGCATTGGGTAGATTGTTAATATTGAGGTTGATGATATATATGTAATATCCTAATAGGTAGAAAATTAAATTTCTGGCATTTCGTTACTTAGCTTGGGCTGCTTCTTCGGAAATCTGATTTTTTACTAATCGAAATCTTACAAATATACCATTAATCTTATTGTACCAATTTTATGTTAACATATACCTTATAAGCTTGTTATTTTGCGACAAAAAGAAGTCTTATTTCAGTCACTGGTGTTTTTATATCTAATACAGATTCATCCAAAGATTTGAATCCATAATGGTGCCTCATTAGAAACCTGAGCTCGGAAAACATAGATCTACCGGTATTCATTTTATTTACTAAGACAATCCAAAACCCATTAAGTCATTGAATTCTCCTGGATAGCCCTTTCAATAACTGATTTAAGGTTATTAGGATAGCTAACAGAAGGAAATATCACTTTGCTTAACCAATTAAAATCAGCCTAATCTTCATTACATCACATAGAGTAAAAATAGGTGTTACCGTATCAATGTAACTGGAAGCGTTATTTAAACAACATAGTGTCATCGAAGATGTTCTCAGCTAGAGAAAAAGTGATAAAACTTTTGCCATAATCCTTAACAGAGCCAATTAAGGGCCAAAGAGAAGTTTACGACAAAAAAAGATTGTTTGATAACGGGTAAAGACGGATAACCCTCTGTTTACATATGATTACAATTTTGATGTACATCTTTAATCAGCGAACCGGATAAAGTATATAATAGTAAGTTGACAGTAAAAGCGTATATATATATATATAGCCTGCTGATGTAAACAAAAGTCAGTTTCTGTCCTGTTATTATTTTCCGTAAAATATTCGTCTACGGGGTGGATAGTTAATAATATACCAATTAGTTGTTTTTGATAAGTAACAATAGAAAGACAAACTACATTGTAGGAGAAAAACGCTCCAGACAATAAACCATTTAACATATTGTCTTTTTTAATGAACAAACAGTTAACAACACTTTGGGTGTATCAGCTAATATCTAGATAATATATAATTGACTATGTGTATATTAAATAGAATAATTAATTGAATATTCCATTCATACTGAAATAAAACAATAATCATAGAATATAATCATTATCTAAATAGCTATTAAGATTAATTTTTATTTCTACGTGTCTGTTTATAAACAGCGGACCGTTTTAAGCTGTAATCTATTCATCATGATAACTACATAAAGGAAAATTCCACAGAGATCAGAAAGATGTTCAGCAGTTTCATTCTCCCAATGATTGGCCTATTTTATAGATGTTTGCGTATTTAGAATATTCATACATTCAACTAAATTATTAAAAGTTAAAGCCCTAACCCTACCTAAGTAAACTCCATAGATTGGTCATTGTGAATCACTACAATACACCTAATATTTGCTTTACTTTACTCTAAAGTTGCTAATAAATAAAACGTTGTAAATAGGCAACACTTTCTGACTTGATCACTGTCAGACATTTTAAGTCCCATTTGATCATTATTCACACACAGTTAATACGTGGTTGTATATAACTTGATTATCCCATTAATAAAGAATAAAAAATCTACTATTAGAATGCTGAAGTAATGTTTAAAATACCTCTATAGGGAAACATATGCAGGCGGAGTTAAACATATGCATTTGTAAGATGTTATTAACCAACCAAAGCTAATTATTACGGTCGTATAATTAAGAAAGATACTATACAGGAATTACATAGTTAAACAATAAACGTTGTTCAGAAATATAAACACAATAATATAACTCACTTTTATACAATCTGAACTGACTAAACCTTGATCTATGGTACGTATAGGGCCATTAGGTTGAGGTAGAAGTACAGACATTTCAATATGTGATGGTGATTCTTGCTTTGAAGTTAAAAGTAATTAAATAAGTATGCAAAGTAAATAACAATAAACATGCAATTTACTTTGTTTCCAATACGTCTTATTGATCATAAGGGAATGTTGGATTCATGTCTGATTCATTACAATAATGCATACAAAAACGCACATCACTATTTTTTAAAGGAGTTAAGATCATCCTGTTGTTGATAAATTAAACTGAATTTTCATCAGTCTTTGTTAAAATATGTACATTCTGTACAGATTGCCTCGATGTACCCGTTTTTTACAAGTTTTTTTATCGAATATACGGATTGTGTCTAGTAGTGCAATTCAGAATTCACATTTCATTCTATTCGGTATTAATCAGACGGATGTAACTAGATGTCAGTATTGATGTTTATCCTGGAATAACTTAAACCATTTCCGCTAGTGATACAAATGTCATACTCGTTTCACAAGGAAGTGGGAATTAGGGTCGAGGTTGTGAACATCAACACCGGAACGAAGATATATCCAACTAACTAATTTCAAATAGGCCAAGTATATGCGTTCTGGAATTCACTGCCATACACAAATTCATTTATTCTGCTAATAGTAATTTATTTTTTTCTGCCTAATCTGATTGGACCTCATATTAAGTGTAAACTGAATAAAGTCAATATAAAAGAATCTATTATGATAGACATTTTTATGAAAATGAAATACTGTAATTACACAGTTATTATACAGAATTCCTAATCTGAGGTATAACCTTTTAATAAATCATGTTTCAGAACATGCCGTATATTCCGTAATGAATGATTGAAAATCTCTGTCATAAATTTGTTAATTTAATATTATTTATCATAAGATTTATGTCAAATTTATATTTCACAATTATAAAGCAAAATATTATAAGTTTAATAATGCGTTAAAATATGAATTCCTAAATTTCGGTTAAATGCTTATTTCAAAAATGCATCTTTTCACCACGCGCTAACATCTACTGAAGAACCATTAAAGAATGAACAGAACTGAAAAACGACCTGATTTTTGATTGAGAGTTGCCAGATGTGTTTCCATTCGACGTCGAATGCAACAGAACCTGAAACTATTTAGATCTTCCACTATGTACAATAACATTTAGTTAACGCAACGCAATTACGTGCTTTGTGTTTTTCGTTATAGCCAATTTAATTTATTTCAGGACTTCATACTAATGCACATTTAAATAACTTCTAATTATCCATCTATCAAGCTAACCTACTTAACAATAAATCTTGAGAATACAATGATTTTTAGTGAATACTAAAATAACTTAGTTACATTCTGAATATGCATTTCTTGCAATCATGAAAAGCAATACAAAGGTAAAATAATATTGTGTTTGTAAACCTACACTTTTTACAAGCTGTTTAGTCTTTTTCTTCTTATCATCATGTATAATAATAGGTGAACAAAATGACGGTGATGATGGTGACGATGAACAATGATCACTTGAAGGAATAGTTTCAGAAACTATTTGAATATTATCTATTGGACATTCATTTGTCTGAATAACTGTTGAATAAGGAAATACTTTCGTCTTTTTCAAATAATCTACAATTTCATCTAATGTTCCACGACGTGCAGCCATTGCTAATCGCATATAATGATCACCATATTCACCACAAGCCACTTCCATAACTGTTACGTAATGTTAATAAAGAATAGATAATGTGGAATTAATCGTTGTTCATTTGTGACCATATGAACTCAAAAAAATAAAGTTTAATTAACTATTTACATGATAAGGTTGTTTTGATCATCTAAATGGTTTAGTAAGTTAGAATTTACGATTCAATGAATATACATATTAATTTACTTATGATAATAGTAATGGCAAATATAAGGGGAGTAAATTGTAATAATTTTGTTATTTGAAGCATTTTAAGTTGAACCTAACTATCAGACAGAACAAGATACCTTGAAGCTGTTAAGTTAAATTTATCAGACGAGTTCGGAACAGCATAAAATATGTGATCTGAATTTCGAAGCTAAATACCATAAAATCACATCTAATTATAGAAACATTCCATTACTTTTTCCTCCCCAAGATTTTATTTATCATTATATTCACAAAAAAATAATAAATCATATTTATTAAAACAGGTTAAATAATGAACGTTTTGAAGTTAAGAGTACATTACCAGATAGCATGTAATGAATGACTCAAATTATAAGCTACCTACATTTTTGTCTGAATAGATTTCACTCTTATATAATATAAATTTATAAAAAAATGATGTAAAACATTTGTATTGGAAAACAATTTGTTTGCGACCATCTCTATACAAATATAATATTCATTTTCACGGATTACGTTTTCATTCACTTAACGTGTATCTAGTAACAAGTGTTATCAATCTGAATGTGATTAACATTCCAAAATCCATTCATATATACGACAGTTTCACATTAAATATACGTATATAATTATTTTAAAATTAATTAATTCATTAATTTTATTGCATTCGTTGTTCTCCCAAACTTCTGTTGTAAATAGTATTGATACAGTAGAACAATTAGCATAAACTTTCTTAAGCTAATAAACCAAAGAGTTAATTGTAACTAATTGTAATAGGATTTTCCGAAGTTTGTTAGCTTCGAGAGATATCCAGTAGCATTTTTGTACATAATTACTTGAAATAGATTGATTCGTCAATCATACAGTCATATTCTGAACACAAAATTGAACAACTGACTAGTTACATTACCTTAAGAGTAATTAACATATGGTTGATTTGTTTGTTATTAAATTTTATTGAATGTGTATGCCAAACAGAGAGATTTGAATTTAATTATTGAAAAATAATAACAACTTACAATAATCAGCAGGATTATGATAAGATGGACAAATTAAATCTTGTGATGCGAGGTAAGGGACTAAACATGAAACAGGTCCTCTATAAATACAATGACCATCAGTTAAGAAGTATAACTGCAAATGAAAAGAATGCAGTAAGTATGAATTAATAAATGAACTAACTGAGAGCATGTAAATGCTATCTGATGACCTGTTATTATCATCGTTTCCCTTTAGATTTACTTCTCACCTACACGACTAAAATATGTCATCTAGTCTTTGTTGAAACCTGAAGGTCTTTGGTTCGGTCTCCAGTGGTTTCGTAGATGCTGATGAGTACTATACTAAGACATAATAGCTATCAAGTGCTTCTTGGTTTTTGGGTAGTGGTCTAGTGAAGATCAATTTGTAATCTAAACTATGAAAATTAATATTCTTAGCCATTTTCAAAGTAAGAAACCTTACTACTAAAAATACTTAAGACAGACTTGAAAGTTAGACAAATACAACAAAATACACGCATTATAATTGAATTTTTTAAATCTAGTGACCCTGTTTTATCTTAATCAGTCCCTTGAACAGTGAAAGTGAATCAATTGGTTAAATGAAACACCAAAATGATCGACATCGATTAAGTAGGTTAACTTTAAACATAAATACGAAGAACAAGAATGTAAAGCTGTAACGTTAGTTCATGTGTTCCTTTTCCGATGTTTCCTTCACTATTCTTCTGAAGCTTCCTTTGTTTATTCATTGATTAATATTTACCAAAGAATTTGTGATTTTTACTATTGTTTTTCCTGATCAATTAAGAGGGTAATGGAATTTCAAACGTATACATCCATACAGATTCGTTTGTTAGCCCAAACAAATCAGTGAATTATATTAACAAAATTAAAACAGAATGTTTTCATGATTGATTAGTTAACAATTAAGCCTATTGATTTCTTGTTTGTGTAATAGGATGTTTGAGGATAAATCTTTGATTCAGCATTTATTTCTGTTTTCTTGTCATTTTTTAAAAGCTGTTATTATTATTGCCATCGGTCTAATCAATTAATTGAATGTACTAACCATGAGGAAATGACAGATCATATATATATATATGCCAGTTAGTTACAAACTGTTACGATAAAAAGTAACGTTGCTTTGCAGAAATAAATAGAATATGAAAATGAGTTTTAATGTAAAATACCAATTGACTGTAGATTGAATACGCCAGTAAATAACAAGAAACAGATTGAATTCCGATGTCGATTATAGTACTAAAGATGTACAAGTCACTAAGTCAAACGACATAATATGAATAAACTTTGTTCGATAATTCGTATCACTTTCGTCGGTGTTAATACTGTATGCTCATGAAGAAATGAAACACAATGAAGTATCGATTGTCAGTTGATCTGAAAACCTTTGACGTGTATTTTTGACAAAATTGCGAATTTTGTTGGGTCTTAGGAGGCCAGTTTCAAAACAACCAGAGAGTTAATCAGACTTTCCACAAAGATACGACTGTGGAATCTGATGGATGATAAGCTGTTAAATGTTACTAGATGCTGGAATACATTAGAAGAGACTACATTAACTCATTACATTCATGACTATCATACTAAGTCTTCACAACGCGGATGATTTTATAGCTGATATTCTTTGAATGAAGAAAAATAAGAATGAAGATTAAAGTTAAATAACTGACAGATAACTTCAACAGTAATGTCCTCTCACTTTGGTCATATAGTTAAGCGTCAAAATAGCATAAACCCATATTTGCTTTGTGGTTTAAGTAACTGTAATATTTTCCTGATTAATTAAATAGTTACTTTAATTAATGTCAATACAGGAAATTCATCAAGATAGTCAATAAGTGAATAAAATCCATTATTAATCTTGATAAGTTCTGTTTTGATTTCCTAAAATATAATGTACTCTAATGTTAACATGATGTACTTCCTCTGATATAATAAATTTACGGAAACGATTTGCAGAACATCATTCATAACTTAAGATATTATCTTATATATTTTGCAATTATTCTACTATAGCATGATGTATAACCCTTCATGTGTTGTTTCAATAATGGCAAGATCAAGTAAATTCGTAAGTTTCAGATCGAAAAACTTGGAGAACTCATACAACAATACATTTAGCTTGTTAAGTCTGAACAATATTTGTTTTTGGAACATAAGAACATTTGCATTGTGGAAGGAGTTGTAGTACAGGTGGTTCATTTCACTGGTTGCCCTGGTCAAATATTTTTGTGAAACTTTCATTTTTGCACCAACTATTGCTGTCACAGTAAATAGAGTGACTGAACGCTCTGACTACCTAAGCTTCAAGTCGTTTTTACCACAAATGAAATAACTTTTCTTATAAACTGAAGAGCCGTTAATAAAAAGAACAGCTAAACCAGGAATGGAACTGCTCGAGAATTGATCTCTTATCAGGGGACTTCTTTGTCCGTTTAAAATATGTAAACGATGTCGTATTATTCGGCGAAGACTGACAAATTTAGAATCTTCTGATCACCATGAACAACAGCCAAAGATTTTGGGATTGAATTCTTCTCCATTTCAATTGAACATATGGATTTAAGACAGATTTCAGTCAACCTTTAGGCTAAAATTACGGAAATAAGTTATTGAGCTCCCCAACCACTTTATCTATTTTACAGCTCTGGTCACTCATGTTGGGTTAGTACTTGACAAAATCTTGGCAAGCATTCACAAAGGTTGGTTGGCTCTTGCCGATCGGCGTGAGAAAGATGTTCGTCTACCGACCAAAGAATGAATATATGGCACAGTAGTATTTTTTGTTTCTGTGAAACATTGTCTTGAGAATTAGAGGACATTCAAAGTTTCCAGTTACTTGACCATAAGTATCTCCAATCACTCGAACCACTAGGTGAGCATTAGGTAAAAACGAAGATCCAGTCATTAAGGTTTTAAATATTCATCAACTGTTCCAGTTGAGACATGTATTAATTTTGCCCAAATATCACCCACCAATCTTGAGAATGTTGGCTGGATTAAGATTTAGTTGGAAAGAGTCTAATGACAGTCCAACCTGACCCGGTTCAAATTAGTAGGTGCAGGTTATCTGATAAGTGCCCTCGCAACTGTCGAGACCAGCAAATTACGTATTTTTTCTTGAATCACATTCTATATATCTAGCGTGACTTTGCTAACACCGATACTGTTGTAGTAAACTAACCTATTGATTAATGCCTTGAATACACAGAAATTTTCGTAAAATATGAAAACCATACATTAAAAAACATTATTTGCAAATATTCCTTCAGTTGTCCCCCATATACTTCATGATTCTTCCAGTTCTGTTGTAATCCCAATTGGTCACCGTTTCGCTTCTTATTCACCCCAATTCAATTTTCTGCTGGCAAGCATCCCACTTCTGCCTGCTGCTACGTACTAATTATTTCTTTTAGCATAAACAGCATAAACTACACTGATACTATCTTTAGTTCTTTGATATCAACTTAGATAATTCTATCTTGTTGCATGGATTTGGTGTGGTAAATTGAGCCAGCACACATACTTACAACGTTCTGTATTACTTTTGACTAAGTTTATGTTTTATTTCATTTAATGACTATTCAATGTTAGTAAATTCTAAATATTTTAGCCTCTGCTTCAGGTTAACTGACAAAAATAATTTAGTTAACTTGATAGTTAATATCTGATTTATCTTTGTTTGAGTTTACACCTTTCTACTTTTTCAAACTTTATTATCCGGTCAAAAATATTTATCACGTCAATTTCAATAATTTACAGATGAATTAGGTGTTGATTGACAAAATAAATTAACATCTGTTCACTATTTAATAAGTATTTTTACTTGATGGTAAGGATGCCTAGATATCTCATCACTATATATATATAGCTTTGAGTGAATTTTTCTAATTACCAGGCATGTTTTTTTTATTGTTTTTGCATACAGCGAATTAGTGTGCGTTAGCGTTTATCTGAAATGTGTATTTAGCACTAAAATAAGGTTTACCAGTTTAACGGGGCTGGGTCACAATAGGCAACTATATCTTCAGATTATTTAAGTGATTTGGCGATTAAATATGAAGTAGCAAAGGACATTTCACAGAGTCCTGTGTTAATCTACTGCGTATACATATCTGTGTAAACATAGGATTATTCGAGACCAGATATACTCTTCAAGGACAAACTATACCTGTTACGACAACAATGTTTAATAATCCCAACGAACTACTTAATCAGAACTTATCGTTGCAATCATTAGCCTTCAGTACGTGATCTTCGTATAAGGACTACCTAATAACATCAATGGCTGATAAAGATGTTAACAAAAACAGTTAATTTTTTTAAACTGACATTTTGTTCGTCATTCAAAATTTTCAGCTCATTTTGATTAAGTCACGTTATTTAACAGAATATCGGTAACATAATTATAAACATCATATAGGATGCAGATTTAGTTTGGCAAAGCTACATGTGGTTACAATCCAGTCCACTACGAGAAAGCGATTATCCGCTTTTTTAACGACGAAGTGGTAATTTTAAAAATTATATTCTACTCTATTTCCGGTACAACGACAATCGACAGACTTTTGATGAACATGATTTTCTTGGTGTTTTTATGAATTCTCTTAAGGGTAACTTCTAGAATTTATAGGTGTAAAAGATTATATTAGTAATATACTTAGATGTCTCTAAATCCTGAAAAGAAAACAGACGCAAAGATTTCATTATTTTTAACGATATGAATGCATGTTAGCTTTTATACTCACTCGTAGTCCACATTAATTTCGAATAGTGTTTTGGATGAGTGAATTCAAATGAAAACTTGAGAGTAATCAGAATAATAAGTGGTAGAGGTTAATTATAATCAGACATTAATCAAGCAAAAAATATCAGGAATTATGAATCCATCATGCTTATTGTATGGGAATCAAGTGAACACATTGGACATTTTTGAAAATATAGATGAAAATAACCACAACTAAGTTAAATGAGACTACCTAGACAACGATTGATTAATACTTCACTAATTAGTCGACTACAGTCTCTAAAAAAAGTATTTTCGTGTTGATGAATATTGTATTTTTGTTAACAGTTTAAATGGTTGAAAGGTTAACATTTAACACATTAGCTGACACTGACCAAAAACTACAACAGACTAATGAACACTAAATTTACGACTGTGGTTGAAAACCGGAAAGAGAATAAAAGATTTTAAATATATATTAAACATGCAACATTATCATTGCTTCTACCACTTATATTTAGTAATGGGAGCAAGAACATTTTAATTTTAAATGAAAAAAATTATCTGAACATCCACTTCTAGCTAAATGGTAATTAGATTAATATTGTTCATAACAGTTTGTAAAAAACATAAATTTTTGAAACAACATGAAACACTACTATAACAGTGAACAAAGTTCAAAGTACCAGTCGGTAAGAACATCACTGAGTAAATAGTTCAATAGTTTGTCAATTCAAACCTTAAGAAGAATATGGGTAAAATGTATATGTGGAATGGAAGCAGTCATCTACTCAAAAGTTACTAACAACTTAAAACAGCATACAGTATTTATAGTAATAAAGAAATTCTTCGCGGTGATATCATGTTAATAAAAGTTGCCAGATTCAACCACAGGAAATAATCACACATTCAGTAGACAGTTTTGAGATGGAAGACAAAGATTTTCTTGGGTATTCGCAATACCATTTAACAAGTTAGGCTTGGACATGGTTTACAGTTGATCAACTCAGCTAGATTATAAGAATCAGAATCTAACATTTCCATTAAAACTGGACAGATTTTAGCTCATGAGTCATACAAAAAAACATTCATTTATATTATCAATATCAAATGTGATCAATCAATTATTTCTGTTGCAACTCACGGCTGATATATTATTATGATCATTATTTTCTGTTTATCTTAAAGTAATTAGTGTTTCTTTTCAGAATTTAAGCTAAGCAAGGTGACTTGAAAGTCATAGAATTGTAGGTCAGAGAGCGGATTTCTGAAATTATTCACCAACATTTTGGGTCTCAAACATTTCCACAACACTGAGTTACATCAGTATATATTTATTTAGATCATGTGATTATAAATTATTTCACAACAATAACAACGGTAAAAGGGTTATTCCAAATCATGGATACCAGAACATTTTATACTAAACTGTTTTAATCACACGTGTCAAAGTTCGAAATTCACACCTCTATGGATTTAGGATTTCCATAGGAATGTGTTAACATGGGACATATTTTTAAAGTTATCGTTAATAAATTTTGAATTTCATTATAACCAGATGGAAATCCTAAGACATGATAGGAAACGCCTTACTAAATATTACTACAGAATCACTGGACGGCCGTCGTATACAGGACTCCTAAGCAGTGCGCATCCACGATTTCGCACGCGATACTTGAACACAGGGCCTTTGGCCTTTGAAAGAACAAACAAACTCCAGAAATTAATATACTTTTAAGTAGCAAAAAGTGAATATGATCATATTACCAGTGAATATCAACAACTAGAAGGGTGCTTCTGCCATATGCTGAGTATGAATGAGTGCGAGATTTAAATTATGATTGATGGATTCAGTTTTTATTGTATTAGTTACGAGTTAATTATCCCGTTGTTTAATATATTCACCTTTTATAAAATGAGCAATGTTTATTACATAGTTTTTATTTTGGGAGTAAATTTACTTCACGACAATGGTTGTCCCTATTATGTAATGTACTATTGAAAGACCAATATTATGAAATGAAGTAAAACGAACCTCAGAATATAATTCCAAATTTCTAACATTTTTTCAAAATATGCAAATTTGTGGTTAATCACAGACTTTAAACTCACATGGTCAAATAGTTCGAATATTTTTGCACTCGGTTGGTGTATTGTACAAATTATTGTTCGACCACCACGTGCCAAGCGACGTAACAATGAGATGCAATGAAAACATGAAGCACTATCCAAACCACTGAAAGAGAGAGCGTTTGAATGAGATGAAATTTCTGTTTTACAACAGTAATGATTTATCTGATTATTCATTGACCAGTAATGGAGTAATCACAGTGATAAAGTCAGTGAATTCGGAAAGATTTAAATTACTTAATAAATAAACCTGTTCTCATTCACAAAGTCGCACTGACGTAAGCCTACGAAAGTTCACCATTATTTAATGCGATATCCGGTATCCATATGTATCTATCTATCCTGTAAACAAAATGGAGTTATTATGATTTATGAAAGGACGTTGATGTCAACCGTTAAGCGATAAATTAATAAAAATGTTTAACTTTGGCTTCTTACTTGCTCAACGTGCTATTATTACCCATCTGCTAAGATTATTTATCTATTTTGTTAGGATACTTTAACATTGTCCCTCAGTATATTCATGCGATCAGTGGACTGTTCAGAATATCTTGGGTTGGATAGTTATGTAATAAACTGAGAGCCTCTAGATAAAAATAATAATTTCAAGTTTCCCATGTTGCTTCCTTGTAATGTGATTTGTTTCCAACAAATAGCTGTGAAAACTCAACAAAACCTCAGAGAGATCATCTAAAGAATAAATTTTCTAGCAACGACCTCATTTAAATATAGTTAGACGATAAATGTAGATTGCTTAGAAAACAGGATAGATTTTAACAAAAGTTCTAGATCTGTAGGAAGCGTTTACTAAAATTTACTAATTCAGCGTAACGATTATCCGCAAATCTAAAATGTTCTCACAACGCTGAAGATGCCCTGCATTCTGTCGAAGTCATAGAGACGATAATTAAGCCAACCAAACTTACTCAGAATTGGCACTGAATAATCTCAGTCCGATAATCTAAGGTGTAAAGCCTATTGAAGTTTCATTTGAGGATTGATAATAATCATTTAAGGTATATGAGATTATAGTTGCTGCTTCAAATTAATGTCAATCATTATTTCACTACGCATTTCTTACATTTTCATGTACGACTCTTAAGTAGTAAACAAATTAAACTTTTAATAATCAATTATTCATATTTGACTTTAATCATTATCATGATCTCCAATATCTTATGGGAGAATAATCAAAAACGAATTCTTCTCATTGAAAGTACATGACACTTTTTAACCATAATTTACTGTAGTTAAGGAATTATTAATAATGTGTTTCCGTAGTCTTGACAACAGGATAAATGCAGGACTAAGATTATTTTTTTCAAGAATATCTAATTTCACATCACAACCATTTTTAGGACAGCTTATTTGCAACAAAATCTCTCAAGGTAATTGTTGAAATAAGTGAACAGTCAATTATTTTTATTCTATCTATTTGCCTCAAAAAAAGCTTCATGCTCGAAACAGTAAATGTCTTACAAAATATTGTTGAGCATAAATTTAAATGCAGAAAGAATTATTTTAATTATGTTGCTGATTACTCGGGTGAATCGGTAGAATACTGAAATGATTCAGATGATTAGGCTAATAATTCTACGTCTCCAATGAGCACCAAATTACAACCGAACAATCATTTTAGAGATAGAACCACCAGTCTTCTACTAACTAGTGTGAATATGTATTGATCGAATAAAGCAAATTCTATTTGTATAGAAAATCTTCAAAAAGATTAAATAACATGAGAACGATTCATTTAGCAAACATTACACAGTTAATCAAGTCTGAAATTAATTATATACGTGGTATAATTTGATGTACATGTAATAAGAATACCATAGAATAATGCGAAGACGGAGTTGACCTGAAAAATGTGATGTATTTTGCGCCAAGGATTTTGAACAATCTGGTCACACTTATACATATCAAGACATTTTATATGAAAATTAATAAAGGTGAATTAAATGAAAGTCAAAGTAAACAATGTATTGATTGTAAATAAAGGAGAGAAAATTAACACAGTATTGAACGATTAGGAAATTTTAGCATTAGCCTACTCTTTAAAATGATTTGAAGATTGGTAGGTCGAATTCAAGGTTAGAACTACTCGTTGCTGCACAGATAAGAGGGGTTTGATTTACGAATAGCCAAAGGTTATATAAATCTAATAATTCATCCTTGACGATTTCAATACAATATTTTGAAAGCCGTATGGATGTTAATTCTATGTTCCGTTTCAACCACATACTTTCTTACCGATGAACATGGTTTACTACTTCCACATTTATCGGAACACTTGACACCAACTGATTTTGAAGCCATCTCGGCACATGTTTCATAATTCTTGATTGTATCGTTCGGTTGCTGCTCCCTATACAGTGTGTCCAAACAATATATAAATTGGTTAATGCAATTGGATGTGACGTAATCACTCGTACAATGTCAAGGCCTATCCGGAATAATGGGCTTTGTCTTTTTGTTCACAACATTTAAACAGCATAGTATGTTTTCTCGAGGGCTGCTTATAGTGAAAGAGGTGTTCTAAAGAGCTAAGACTTGTAATTGAACGAACTGAATTACAATAACTTAAGTAATTAAATAAAGACGGAACACATACGACGAGTATGGAAGATTGATTAAACCTTAGACTTTTGGGAATATAACTCTTAACTAAGATACGTAGGATGGGGTGAACAAAGTCGATCCGAAAATATAAGAACTAGGTAGGGTCATATAAAAGTTTTTGAGTTCCACTCAATGTTGGTGCAAACTCCTATAACAGGCTGATTGAGTAAAGCAACGATTTACCGAAGAAAACAATATTTTAAACTTGCTAAATTCGGTCTGAACAAGTGAGGAAATTCCCACTTTTGATTGAACTAAGAAAGAAGGATAGAACAAATTTATTACAGAATTGGGCAGATAAAGTCATGATGAGTAACTGATAATCTAACAGTAGTGCGATATTTTGGAAATCGAAATGCTCTGAATTAGCATAATTAAGTGATTAATTATGAAAAACTCTTGAGAACTCCAGTCATCAACTTCATGACATCTCTGAACATCGTCAAAAGAGTACTTACTTGGAAGAAATTAAGATAAGTAGAAATTTTCTTAGGTAAACAGAAAAGTCATCATAATTCAAAATATGCTCAAAAAATCAACCATTTCTTTATATTGTGTGAACTCTGTTAACAGCTTTAATTTTGACAATGGTAGAGGTCTTCTGAAATGTCGTGCTAATAAGCTATTTCAAATAAAATCCAACAAAGATGCATTGAATGCTAGCTCTGTTCCATGTCTTCTATAAATTTCAACTTACCTATTGTGACAAACAAACTCATATTGGAAAAGAAGGAACATTATTTCTACTCTTAACAAAGCATTAACTAATTTTCAACTACTTAAAACAGAATTGCTAACCAGTGAAACACTGGATACGCTATTCAGATAAAATAATAAAAGTCAATAAAACAATTTTATCTCATTTTTATCTGTTGAAAAGACAAATCGAAAGCATGGTAATACGTTATCTTGAAGGCAGTTAAAAGTAGGTTACTAAGATCTAAATAATGTGTGACTTATTGTTTAAAATCTAGTTTCCAGTGGACTTATGACTATTTTATACATTTCATTACTGTAAATTTTTGAGTGATATATTTATTTATTTCCTCGAAAATCGTAACCTAGTGAGAGGGACTATTCTTTTATTTAACAATATGAATCTATGTAAAGCTGATACAACGATGCCTGTTAATAATTCGAAAGGACTTTATTCAACTGGTTAAACCATGAAGTCAGTAATAGCTATCACCTACCATTTAAATTACTGAAGACACTTATTACCCATATATATTTCAACCTAGATTTTGCCTAACATAATTTTAAACTCATCAGTATATTCTATTGTAGTTAAAGTAATTGAAATGGTTACATTTTGAGTAATGACAATGATGAGATTATGTGAAAATATCTAATGGTATTGTAAATTTTAGAAATCTAAGATATAACCTAGTTTTATATATCCAACTCTTGACGTAAAATTATCTCAAGTATCTGTTTTCCTAAAGTAGAAAATTTCCTCATAGTAATTATAACACATTCTTGGCTGAACTATCACGCTAAAACTAGAACGATAGAGGTACGGCGAGAAATAACTCCACTTTAAAATGTGGACTGAAAACTATTGCATTCACAATATTTTAATTAGTCATTATTTTAAAGTAACACTGTTTTGATAATAAGCCTACATGTACAAAATACTTTTTTACTTCATTTATTCAAACATGACATTCTATCTAACCAACATTTCTTGTGGTAGATATATTTTATACACATTCGAATATTTAACACAACTGTTAAGTAATTTACGTTTTAGGTAGCTTGCATGAATTACAATTGCTTGGGCATTTGCTAGTTCTCCGCTTTATAAGTTGTTTGCATAGTCAAATACAATTTTCTATCCTTTGACTGTCTCTTTATTAAGCGCTATCTAACAAATGTAATGATAATAGTGTGAGAGGGTATAAGTACTGCAAAGATATTTTAGTTCAAAAGTCATAAAATTTGGATCAAGTTAACAGATTCCTCAAACTCCAGTAATGTTTGCATGATAAAATATTCTTTCCTTAAATATCTACATATGCCACTTGTAGACTCTGGTAACTCATCGTGCTTAGTTCGTTGATAATTTATTTGAATAATGTAAATTTTGTTGTCACCATTATTCTAAAAGCTACCGGAAATTATATGACAGTTTTCTCGTGATATGGGGCCTCTGAACCGTCGTATGATCAGAACTATGCTTGAACTATAGAACTAAAAGGTTAAGACTGTGTCATAACAAAATGCTACTGGAAATGTTTATTAAAAGACTATATTTAATCTTCATGGTTATTTAAATAGAAACGTAAACAAATCATATTAAACAATAAACAAAATAATTTTATTTTCTTAAGTCATGTATATTCTACTGCCCCTTGGGCAACTGTTATTTATTCAATTTCAACATCGTTTTTGTTGACATTTATTTTCACTTTATTTACTTACTAGTAGAAGGTATGGGAGCATAGATCGATGCAAATTATTAGTGTTGAAATTCCTATTTTTCACCATACCTGTTTGGGTGTCAATATTTCGGACATTTTTATATTTCCGTATTGCACGGACTAACATTTATACTTTATGAACTAACCCAAAACTGCTGAGAAAGGGCAAAACATCAATTCTGGAATATATTTATGTAAATAAATCACTAAAATTAAGTACATTTACTAAAATTAACGATCTCGCCATCTAGCCTTTATCTAATCATAAGTAAAATGAAATAACGAATATATAAGTTTTATTAGACAACCTACGAATATTGATTAAAAGCAAAACTCAGGGAAACTTAATAGATTATTCGTTTAAATGTTAGAGACGATTTATTAAGGACTGAATCCCCGTTAAACCTGCTGTAGAATACTTAAGTAGGGAAAGTGGAAATACTCATATTTCAAAGTTCGGTCTTTGAGAATATGAAAGAGTTTTCTGAAAATCTTTTATTAACAGCTTTTTATATAGATACAAAAGCACTAGTACATAAAGTTTATACATATGTACACTGTTCACTGATTTTATTTTTTTAGACCATACTGTAGACTCGTAAGTAAGCTAATTTTCAGAAGTTTTTTGCTATCGTCCAATTCCATAACCGTAACCACTTCATCGTGAAAAGATTTTTACATCACTGGGGTTTTTAATACAATAAATTTAAATGCTACTTAAGATTCTCCAATGATACAAGTTAAACGATCATTTTCGGCAAAATAAAATTACCAAGACAGGTCTTAGAGTTGTGTAGGTAGCGAACAAGGTCAGACATAAAAAACATAGGTTCTATGAGAAGACAAACAGTAAATATACCTGCTCCATTGTGCACAACCTTGAGCCATACCAGCCAGTTGCTATCTATCGGTTATTACGACTGCGCAAACCCTAGGTAGGTAAGTTGCACCTACAACATAATTCAGTTCAGCAGTTAGTGACTTAATGGACTGATGTCACGTTTTGGACTAGTCATCAGTAATTATCTTACAATCTACCTCTACAACTGTAAATATTGCTCATCTTTGTAGGAGATGGTTAGGGATACGTAACACATATCTAAAACACCTCAATTACTAGAGATTCTCCGCCTTGCCAACTTATTTATCATCTTTAGCTAGTACCCTAAGCATAATGTAGCAGTTTTGACTCATCTACAGTACAAATCATTTCAACGTTTTACAGCTAAAAATGGAGCCTTAAAAAATAAATAAAGCTAGCCAACCAGGCATGAACTTACCTTGTGGGCTCATCAAAAAACATTATTGGAGGGTTGTTAACTAATTCCTGAGCAATAGCCAGTCGTTTCTTTTGACCACCAGACAGTTGTGAGGTTCGAGTATGTACGGCTTCTCTTAGACCAAGAAGACTTATAATATTATCAACCTAATAAAAATCAATCGAAAATGTCAGACAACATCAAAAAGAAGATGAACTATGTGGAAATTTATTCGGTAAATTAAGTCGATTGTATGATCAGTGCAATGGTGATATAAGAACTATTTGATGTCGCTGTAAATACTGTAACTTATTTCCACCATTTTTTTGTTAAATTTTCCATGGTTATAAAACTTGTCATCCAGTAAAAATAGTAATGTTGATTTTGCATTTACTCCCAACAAAATTTGTTCGTTGTTTTCAAGTCAAGTAAACTTAGCTCTGAAAACGCAGAAAGTTGCAGTATAGTAACCAGTTTATAACCTAATTAACTACTTAAACTAAGGTTAATGGACTCTCTCTCACAAAACACCTATTATAGCAGAATAATTTTTATGTCAACTATGTAGAAGGTGCACAAGCAGACTGACATAAGGTGCCAGCATTTATCACCCATAAATCATTTTACTTTTTCGTCAAGTAGCACAAATGAGCGAATAAACAATATTAAAAGTCGAATAAATGTAAATCATTGTAAAAAATGCAGTCTGTTAGTCACTCGATTGCTTTTGAGGTTCAAAACATAACAACTTGACTATATTCTTGCCCAAAGGTCGCTTAAAGTTTTCATTAAGTTACAGAATTTTGACGTTATTTTTGACGACAACAACGAACTTCAAACATTTCATTAGACTAAAGTCAATTTGAGCCACATTACAAACTTCGTTAGTAGCTGTATACAGATTACATTTAAGGTGAACATTTATACTAGAAAGATTTATTAGTTTAAATGGAAAGGCTGCTTCAATTTAGCCCACAATTTATATCACAAACGGATATTACACCACCTTGTTAATAAGAATGAATGTAAAAAATATTTTATATATTGCTGAAATAACTTCGTTCAAGCAACGAGTTAGGAAGTTTTTAATGTTATTATCCCATATAAGCTAGGTTTTGTAAAATTTCGCTATCCAAACGCTAGGTAATCTGGCGGCTTTTTAAATACTTAGGTAAAAAGGCGCTAAACTTTAACACATGAAAAGGCAGCTACACTAAACTATCGAAATCTCATAACAAATTTTATCTTATCAAAGTAGCAGTACATACACTAACCGCAAAATTTTAGAGAAGATCGGCGTATAAACAATTCAACAAAGTTTCTATTTTTAGTATGGTCTTCTAATATCGAACAACATTTGGTATAAATAAAAATTTATGGTTAGTAATAAAAATCTAAAAGGGTTACCGTGTTATTGATGATAAAGACTCAACATCGAATTGATCACCAATAAAAGATATTAGATGTCTTGATATAAATCACGCAATTTACATGAAATGCAAACCTCAACTGAGAGTGCTGATAGACAGTCAATATGGATAGTTTTTCGTTCCACAATATTGCGTTTCAGTTGGATAGTCTAATTTCCTTCATCAACACTGTGCCAGAGCTCTCTTTTTAAAGCAGATGGTTTTCAACAGACAAAAGTGTAGTGAGACCTTAGGTTGTTCTTACTTAAGTAACTGATATATCCTATACCTCCAAATGTACACTAAATTCTAAACAAATAACTATTGCAATAAATTGGAAAACATGTGATGACTAGTAGTAAAGAAAGAACAGATTTTCATGACAAGGTCAGTTGTGAGATTATGCGACTAGCTATTATACAACCACACATGTGTCTTCTTTATACCCAAACTTATATTATGGTTTTTATGCTGTATGAGAAATATTATTACTACACTATTACCAAGAATTTCACAACTGTCAATTTATCATATGTCTAAACTATTCTACTCCGAGAGACTCACTTAGTGATCTCACGAACAATTGATATCAAAATAAAGTAATCAAAACCAAACTTTAAAATGCAGAGCAAAACCTACGGCTGCGACTAATAAACCCCAATGGTTATGGAAGATAATGACAAATGCAGGCATTTTTAATAATTATCTTGTAATACACAAATAATACCAAGTAATTCTAACCAAAAATAAAAGACCACATTATGATATTCACAAAAGTAAGAGGTCATCAGATACAGGCCTTATACAGAGAGCCCACTCATGGATATACCCTAAAAATATCCTTTTTCATTCCCCAAGGTGAGAGATTTGTATGTGGTACACTTTTACTGACATAAGTCATGGTTTTGCTAAAATCTGTTAATCTCCGTGCTTAATAATTTGACCAAATTAACAATAAAGCACTGAGTAAGAGCAAGAAAACTTACTATTTTTCTTTTGGATGCATAGTTAGTCTTTTCACTTAATTTCAGGTTGGCACTACACATCATTGCCTCATCAACAGACAGATGAGGTAGTAACAAATCATCTTGCATTATGTAACACGACATTTTCCTGAATTGCTGCAGGTTTCTTAGCGAAGAGCCAATGATAACATCACCAATAACATTTTGCGTGCAGTATCCCGCTAGAATGTTCATGAGAGAACTCTTTCCAGCTCCACTAGGTCCCATAATTGCGCTCAGTTCCCCAGATTTAAACTCTCCAGATATTCCTTTGAGAATGAACTTTTTTCCGGCTTTACAACAGGTCAGTTGAAAATAATGAAACAATTACCTCTTCCTTGAATAACAAAATACTTCAAATCTTCAAATTTCAAATTTTTTATTTCGTTCGATTCCATGTTTACTATAGGTTGAAATCCATTATTTTCACTCCATGTAGCTGTCTTTTCATTCCCATTACAGACAGATAGCTGCATGTTCAGCTACATTTATGATTTTGGTTGATATCTCTGCTTTGATAAACCAATGTCATTTTTGTACGAAAGATGCTTGTAACTTCAATATTGGTAGCTTATTAACAGAGAGCTTAAGTTCAGTGAACTGAAAGATTCAAACAAAATATGAAGTATCGTTTGCAAGTGAAGGTTACCAACCGAAGAGATTTCACATCAGATTGTTTTAAACATCGGAACATAATTTTGTGGTGAATGTACTGTTACAACTACAAATTATTAGTAATTATAGGAAAAATTATTATCACTTGACAGTTGTATGATACTGAGTGTTATCTAAGACGTTATTCCTGTTACAATTGCTATGGTTGTTTCAGTTTTTGTCGTGTGATGAGTTTTTATGTCGGTGGAAATCACTGGGCGTTGATCAATTTCATGTGTGTTCAATCAATTTTGATTACATCTCAGTCCTACAGGAGGTCGGTCGTGGCCCGGATAGCTCAGTGATAACGTTTCCGACGGTGAAGCTGGGTGACACGGGATCGAATCCATCAGGAAGCACCAGTTCCCTCAAGATTACAGGTACACCTTTCTGACCAGTGCCAAGTAGCACGAAACCCGGGTCCAGGGTGTCCTGTCGACTATCTCCAACCACTATCTAATCTCAGAATAGTACACGCAGTGTCAAGTCGCCTAGACTGGTGGTCTTATTGCAAGATGATCGATAGCATTCGGTCTGGTTTGGCTAGTCAGAACAAGCAAGCTATTTGACTAGATAAACTTTATCTGTATTCGACGGTCTAGAGAATAGCTCAGAATTAAACCTGTAGGAAATTGCTCTCTACAATGCTAATGACCGCTTGATCTCTGTTCGTGACAAAGAATCTCATCTCCAGCATCTAGACCCTGTTTTCGATCAACTGTAAGCATTTAGAAATGTCTGGTTGGAAAAAATCGCTGAACTTTACCGGACAAATTACTGATGCTCGAGGTATTCGCCTTCCGAAAAACACGTTAGAAGGCCTAGTAAGTTTTCATCGACAGTTCATACGGGACTCTTAACAGACCAACTTCGTAGCATCGCGAAAATCATCAATTCTCGTGAGAATGCAATTGACACATGATCAAGCCATCGCAATATCAACTGTGCTAGCACATCAGGACATCAAAGCACCCATTAATATCTCTGTAGATGGATCCGTCTGAGTAACCAGATAGGTTTTTCAACAATGAGTTGACAACACTCAACCACCTCAATCCCCCTTCTCGAAACAGTTGCAAGACAATGAATCAAGGTATAACACTTGGGGCAGGGAAACTCTAGCCTTTCATTGAGCCGTATGGCACATTAAACAATATGAAAATCACGTTGTCTACCGACCACAAACCTGTGACACTTCCTTCAAGCTCGTCGTCAGAAAGGTACTCTCCTCGACAGTCCCGACAACCAGATTATATTTTGCAGTTTACTTCAGATATATGGCATATTCAGGAGGCAAACAATGTGGTGGCAGAAGCCGTGTCTCGAATAACTTTCTTGAGTAGTGTTCTTCAACTCACCTGGCGTCAGGAAGAAGACACTGATCTTCGGCACGAGTTATATTCAACTACCTTATGACTACGGGTCAAACAGATGAGAACTGATGAGGAAACGTTATCATGTGATTTATCTATAGGTAAGGATTGTGAGGTCGTGCCGAAACATTAATCACACAACGTCTTGGATAAGTTGCACGAACTTGTCGGTCTGCTTTGAATAAATACGTGAGGGAGTTGGCTATCCCCTGTGAAAGTTGTCATAACTCTAAGGTGACTTGACACATCGATTACCCTTTGAGATCTTTCACAACTCCCAACTCTCGTTTCGAACATGTCAATTTGGATTTGATAGGACTCTTACGAGATTCAACTTAATACTATTACATCTTGATGTGTGTAGATCGCTTCACACGACGGGCAGAATCATCACCTATCAAAGAAATTACTACTGGAATGTTGGTCTGTGCCTTCGTCGAACGATGAGTATCACATATCTGCTGCCATTCAATTATGACTGCAGACCGTGGAAGCCAGTTCCAATCTCGCACTTTCCGTTGTCTTACGACAATACTAGGAACCACACTTTTCTGAATGACCGCCTACTACTCACAAGCCAACGTGTTGGTAGAACGATTTCACTGACAATCGAAAGCGTCATTCTCAGTCGCAAACGTATCACAGTGAACTGGTGTTATTTCGTCGTGTTACTCGATATTTGCAATGGAATGGGTGCTGACATTGGATACACTGCAGCTCAACTCGCTTACGGAACGACACTTCGACTTCGAGGAGACTTATTGGACCCTTCGTCTCCTTCAATGAATATGGATCTAAACTCTTGCACAAACAGGCTAACAGACGCCATATGTTTACTTAAACCTGTTTCCACTCAACTTCAGTTGATTGATGTTTACGTTCGACATGTCCTACGATATAGTACACATGTCTCTGTACGTCGCGATTAACTTTGAAGACCTCTGGAAGTGGCATACGGACCATCCTTCTAAGCCCTTCATTGTAAATTCAAATACTATATCACTAACTACAACGGAACCATTGATAACTTCAGCATTGACCATCTTAAAGCCACATACATTGAAAGAAACCTTAATAATTTTGGTTTTCTTCTTACACAGTGGAACGCCACGAGATACACATTTGCGATGCTAAACACAAAATCAACAATCACGACGACACAGCTGGTATTTGAGAACTGTCCCAAAACAACACCTTCTGAAAGAAGTGTAAAGCTTCCGGAACACTCAAATGACAACTGCTTGTAGGACACTGTTTAACTTTTTCGTCCCGTTTGTTTGCTCCATACACTCAGGAAGTTACTCCGATGCTGTGCAAAGAAGCACGAAGAGAGTTCTTAACAAAAGGTTTCAAACCTTACATGACTCGCTCATAAGGCAACGAACTGGTATAGAGGACAATTAAGGTCGTATCAAAGAAACATCAATTTCAATGTATCAGGAGATTCTGGGCCGTAAGAAGTATCATCATAAGGACTGGATCCCCATCGAAACTATGAACAAGGTTCAAGAAAGGAAGAACAAGAAGACAGCAATTAACAACAGTTGAACAAGAGCACAAAAAGTCAAAACAAAGCTGGGTAAACAGAAGCAAACAAGCAAGTGAAGAGGAGCATAATAGCCGACAAGCAGAAATATGTGGAAGAGATAGCAACGACAGTAGAAAATGCTGTAAGAAAAGAAAATATGGAAAGTACTATGTAATACAACTAATGAACTTGAAGGGAGATATGGTAACTCAGAGAGACCAGTCACTGACATTCAAGAATAGAGGAACAGATAGGTGGAACACTTTGGGGAAATCTTGAATAGACCAGCTCCACTAAATCGACCGATCATCGATGGAGCACCTACAGACATTCCCATAGATGTCACTCCAACAACGGTCAAAGAAATCAGGATGGCCATCAGACGAATCAAGAGTGGGAAAGTAGAAGGACCCGACAATATACTAGCTGAAGCATTTGAGTTACACATAAAAGTAACCGTAAGCATGATTCACGTCTTATTTGGGAGGAAGAACAAGCGCCGATGGACTGCAAAGAAGGACACCTCATCAAGATAACAGAGAAAGAAGATCTGAGCAAATGTGAGAACTACAGAGGCATCACAATATTGTCAGTACCAGGTAAGGTTTTCAACAAAGTGTTGCTGAACCGAATGAAAGTTTCAGTGGACGGAATTCATATGACGGACTACACTGAAAACTGGTGCATGGAGGACAGCTGACAGACGTATTCCAAGTGAAGACCGGAGACATACAAGGATGCTTACTCTCCCGAAATCAGGAAAAGACTTCGGAAGTGAATAGGACATACATTACGTAAATCACGAAGCAAGCTCAAACTTGGAATTTCGAAGGGGATAGGAAAAGAGGCAGACCAAGGAACATACTGGGTCGGGAGCTGGAAGCAGACATCAAAAGAATGCTTGGGCACATTTGTGATGTATATAAACGAAAAGTAACTAATCATAGACGTCTATATACACTAGATTTTCCATCATGCTCATTCAACAAACTCAATGTCGAGGAATTAATAGGTTTAAATGCTTTTTAACAATTTTGAAACTCAAGTTCTAACAACTTTCTTAAAATTACGAACCTCAATTTCTTGTTTTATAATGGTCATTAAGAGTATATATTTGACTTCCTCACTTGTCAGCTCATAGTTCATGAACTGAAAAATTTGATATTCAATCGACACTTTGTGATACTAGAGCATCTGTACGAATTAGAAACTTGATATTATTCAGTGCATCAAATAATTTCTAAGCATTGATTAAATTAATCATCCAAGAAGCATATTATGATCAGTAATTAGATTTTGTCAACAAATTGTATTATAACAGTGTATTGGTGTATTTAGTCACTTCTTATTTTAGGAATTTCAAGTTTAATGAAAACGTATCTTGAGGTGCATCAATGAGTTTTCAGGTTTTGACAGGAATATTCCTCGAATGCTTAGTGTAAATACCTTAAGGATATATATTTAATTTAACATTCATTTCCAGACACTAACGTGTTGAATACAATTTTATCCACTGAAATCCTATATTTATTGTAAGTAGTATTTATATTGTACACTTCATTAGTTGAAAATCATAAATAGAACGTATATGGCTTACCTTTTCATAGTTTAACACTAAATGAAACGATCGATGTCATATATTAGTGACCAACTGATTATTTAATACAGTGATTGATCAGAGCCTGTTTACGGTTAATTTTCAGCGGTTCTCCGAGGTTTTTCAAACTAGAACTGTACATCTGTCTAATGCCTACCTGGTTTTCAATGGTTGGCTACCATATAAAAATTATTTATACAAATCTTACTGATTAGCTTTTGAAAGGATACTGTAAGGAATTATGTAGACAATTATAAATATCAGAATTTTACAATCAATTATTATGCATTGGAACAGAATATATTCTCTAATGAATAATAGTTG